AAGAAATGAGTCGACATATGACCTTGTAATGGTAATACTTCTTATGAGGAAAAATAGTTGTGGAATTTTTTATTTTGGGATTCTTATGCGATGCTCAACCAAACACAATCTAGACCGTTAAGTATCTAATTAACCTTTTGCTTACACTAGGCTTGCTGGCACCATAAATAAGTACGAATAACTGGACAAGATCCCGAAAAAAAACCTCAAGAATGAAGACTTAGTTTGTCGAACATTTCAGAAATGCGAAGGAGACTTCATAAAAGTTTTAGCACAAATTAATGCTTTTACCTTCAAAATAATTGTTCTTTAACATAATTATGAGAAAACATATTTAGCCCGTCTGACAATCATTAAAATGGAAAAATGATGTTTTGAATAGTGATTTTTTTTTTTTTGGGTAATGCTAGTGGTACATCACCACTAACATAAGGGTCTACATAATGGACACCCGACGTTCTTTCATTGGAGGGAGGGTTGGTGGGGTCGACCCTCCCTCCAATGAGAGGGTGCCGGGTGTCCATTATGGACACTTTGATGTACAATGTGATGTACAACAAGAATTATCCATACTTTTAAGGNTTTTTTTTTTGAGAATGCGTGGTTAAAAAGTAGAGAAAAGTTTTAGGTTTACGTAAAAGATATTTTATTATATGAATGTATGGTTGAAAATGAGCATGTGAAATAAAGAGTTTTGTTTTAATGGGAGTCAAATTGGGGCTTAGTTGGTGGATGTATCCTTTGGTGGTTGTCGTGCATAGGCGATGCTAGTATAGATGAATCTCCTGTTTATTCTTTTCTTTCTATTTTTGAGAGACTGACCTCTTGATCTATTTATCAATGAGTTGGACATGGGTGGGCTCCATTTTCAACTCTTATCTTTAATTTATCTGAATGAAATTGGACATTCAATTTATAGGAGTTTTTGTTATTATTAATTTTAATTTAATTTTTTTAATTTTTCTGTTTTTGGGAGGGGTTATACATGCTTGAAATATTCATTTGTCTATTATATGATTTCAGATGCAGCATCACAAATGGTTTGACTTTCTCTGGATCTACTACTGAACCATTGTTAATTTTTAACCATTTTCTTATACTAACCTGAAAAGTTCTTTATGTTCTTGCATTTTTCTATCTGGTTGATTGTGTGTCATACATGGATTCGGAGATCCCGGCTATAATGTCACACCACATGCCTCTGGACAGCCAAAATGAAGTTCCAAATCACGTTGATGAAGATCGTGCTTGATAGTGAAGCTCAACCATTATTCTTCTGTGACGGTGATGCTTTGGGATTTATATATCTCGGTAAAGTTTTGAAGGACATCAGAGGTTTTGAAGGTAGATTTATATATCTCTGTAAAGTTTTCTGGAGATAAGTGAAACAAGAAATTATCGTAATTCCCTAAAAATGCGACACGTCCAAGTCTGGATAAAATTCTTTGGTACAAAAGAAATGGATTAGGTTACTCGTGTACATTTCAGCGTGTCACAGGTGTATTTATTCCTTGATATAATGCAATCATGTTAACGAACCTTCATCGTGATTGCATGTTTCCTGAGTCAACATTAAATATTGTATTAATTATATCCATCTTCAATAAATGATATATTCAAATATCCTCTGTGCTTTCCTGTTTGATCTATAATTTGGAACAACCAGGAATCAAGTTAATCTGATTATAATAGTTGTTGACATCTTATATTCTAACCTTTCTGTGAAATACTGTTTCATAGATCCCAAGAAGCATCTGTGTGTGCCTGTTTTAATATATATAAAAATAAGCATAGAAAGGTCGCCGAAATAAAATTCTTATGGATCAGTTCCAAAGTATTTAACCAACTTGCAAGAGAAATAGATCTTACATTACATGCCTTAAGAGTTGACTGTCCAACTTTGTGTGCCTGTGTGTATTAGTGCTTGCCCTCGGACTGGAAATTTGAAATGAAGCAGCATTCTATGATATTGCTACCCTCGGGCTGCTCCTCTCCCCAAACACAAATTCTTGGAGTAAATTTACTTCTGATAGTGAGTTCTCATGCCTGGACAGATATTGTATTACTAATAATATGCTTTATGTACATGTTTACTAGACACTCTTAAATGAATACTACTAATAAAAATATTGTTGAGTCTTATCCAGTATTGCTTACCAAACATGTTTACACACTTGAATGTTGAGGGTGCCCGCCAAATATGTTCATCAGGTACACGAGCTACGGCAGCCATTAAATAGCTTATTAGATTTAAATTGATCAAGAATCACAAGTCTAGTCCTGGTCAATGATTTATGGCCTTTTTTTTTCTTTCAAAAAAAAAAAAAAATGATTACAAAATGGGAAACCAACCTTTTTTTGCATATTCACAGACAATGAGGCTCCTTTATGCCTATATTTTCCAAGATTTCATTTTGGAGTGCAAATCTTGAGATCAAGTCCTATGTCTATTCCATTCTAGGCAATAGGAGCGTACGTCCATAGATCATCAGAACTCAAAAACTGCATATGCAAGAATTGAAAAGCCAGCATTAGGATTCCAAGTCCCTTATTTTTCCAACTAATCAAACGAGCAGGAAAATTTCAACCATTATTTCTCCGAATAAATCTTGATTCGATGAATCAAATAAGCAATGGTAATGTTTAATTCTATGGTCAAATCCCTTGTACCATTGTTTAGGTGATTGTTTAGAGAGAACAATAGGATGGGGTGGGATTTTTGAAAGGCAAGTTGGGATCAAAATATCTTCATTGACCACTTGTTTACTATTTTTTATTTTTTAAAATATGATTTTAATTTAAAACAGTAAAAAGAAGATGGAAAATTAAAAAATAAGGGCCGGGATTGATTTGAAATGGGGACCATGTTCCAAATCATCGCCCCAACTCTCGATGGGGGCGGGGAATCCTTGCTCCATTTGGGTCGGGGCAGAACATGGCGTTTTGCCATCCCTATAATTATTTCATCTCATATAGTGATTTCCTTAATTTACAAAATCAATTTTCTTTCCGACAACTTCGAATTCCTCTTATCAGGTCATAACTTTCATCTTCCAAACCCCCATGTAAAAATGAGGCCTTCACGTCAAGTTGAACTAGTTTAATATCAAATTTGGCTACGTAGGCCAATGAAATTTGAAGGGAAGACCGCTTTACAACTGGAGAGAATATCTCATTGTAGTCGATACCTTCCTTTTGAACAGAGTTCTTGAGAACCAACCTTACCTTGAGTCACACCATATTCTTATTAGGATCCATTTACTTCCCGTTTGCCTTCTTTCCCCTTGGATAACTGAGATAACTTCCAAAGCCTATTCATATGAAGAGACTGCATCTCTTTACCCATCGCTCTCCTCTACTGATCATATTCTGGACTTCTAATTGCTTCATTGCAAGTAGAAGGAATATCATCTATAAGTGGAAGGGCATAGGCCACTGTCGTCTTTATCGGTGTAAATGAAGAACTTTGTGCCATCTTTCACACTATTATACTCAACAACAAATAATTCACATGTCTTACCATCGACTCTGATATCACTTTTGAGAAAACCCAAGTCATATATTGCTATTAGAATGACAATAAAGCTGATAAATACCAAGTGCGAAAGAAAGGAATAAAAAGGAGAACGTCAAATTCACAAGCATGAGTAAAATTTACCTATTCTGTAGGTATCGTAAAACCACTTCACTAACTTCAAGAAAAATATTACAAACTTTAGACCAATATAAAATTACAAACATGTTGCCACACTCACAGTGAACATTATAACTCCTGCCTATTGTGGACAAGAGATTAGATCCGTCATACACCAATATCAACTAGAAAAGAAAATTATGCCTATGTTTGAGTTCCACTATTGTCAAAAACTCATTTTTAATCACATTTTCCTATAAAATAATTTTACACTAGATCTCAAAACTTTCTATATTTTTTAACCACACATTTTTCAAAAAAATCACTATTCCAAAACCTATTTTCTCAAAAGAAATAATAATAATAATAATAATAATAATAATAATAATAATAATAATAATAATAATGAGGCTTAAACAGGGCCAATATTTAAAGGTGCTATTTGTTCCGTAAAGAGTACAAGGGGTAAACACTCTTCTTATAGTTGCCAAACTAGACCTTTATTTTTCACTAAAGTTTTGATGTGGGGTAAAAAAATAAAGCTAATAAGCCAATTACTAACAGCCGATTCAATCATTAGATTTCAATTTTACTCAAACAACCAGAATTTCTTAGCATTTTAATTTACTTAATTTATGAGGTACAACAAGAAGCAAAACTTTACATTTTCACAACGTTGAAAGCAAGTTAAGGTAAGATAAGTTTCTCAACCAATATGTTTGAAAATACGATCTTTCAAACCTATTATTTTGATTAGGTTTATGGGCAAATTGCACTATTAAACAACAAACAAAGAAATTGAGTCTAGCAATCAAGACTCTGGAGAGTCGAGTTGAAAATATTGTCCTGAAGTCATATATTAAACTCCCTTTGGGTAAGTACTAACGACTCGATATGACTCCAAGAAAATCCTCTTATGCTCAAAATGATTTCTTCATCTACATGCATGATCATAGAGAAAATATCAAATGAGCATTCTTCTTGTTGCCAAAATATATGAGTATTATATATACATGTATATAGAATATACGAATGTATCTACCCTGATATGAATGTGCATGGATTCCAATCTCATCAACAAGTTAACTAGTTAGAATCAATTCTTTATTTTACTTCAATTCAACTCAATACAGTTTAAGATCTAAATTGCCAACAAAAACAGAGACAATGCTCATCAGGTAGAAATGACAGCCATAAAGTAGCTTATTGGATACAAATTCATGAACAAGAACAATTAGTTTTAGTCCTCATTGGTGTTTTAAAAGTCGTTTTTTCTTTACAAAAGATTACAAAAAATAAAAAACAACTTGTTTGTACCATGCATGTAAGTGTATTTATTCACAGAAAATCAGGCTCCATTGTGTCTTCATTTTCCAGGATCATGATTTCCAATCTTGAGATCAAGGCCAATGTCCATTCCATTGTAGGCAATGGGTGCATACATCCATAGATCATCAGAGCTCAAAAGCTGCAGATGCAGAAAATGTAAAGCCAGCATAAGGATTCCAAGTCCTTTATTTTTCCAATTTAAATTTGAATAAACCGATGAACCTTGATTCATCTAAATCAGAAAAGTGCAATGAGAGAGGATATTTGTTACCTTGATCTGAAGTTGCAAAAACTTCACATATTGGACAGCTTCTTCAAGCATTGTGCTGATATCAACCTGTCAAAATAAAGGACATTGTTGCTTTAGATGAGCAAGGAAACAAATGTATGTAGTCAGCCTTAAATTTATGGGGGAGGGCTTAGCTTCTTGTAATAAAGGAGGTCGATATTATTGTATGATATATCACTCAACTATGCTTACCTTAGTTCCGTTAGGGACGAGGTTTTGTAAGATTCTCAGTCTCTCATTTATTCTTTCTCTTCTTTTCTACAAGATAGGAAAAAAAAGAATGATTATCGATTAAATATATATTGGTTGATTATATATTTACGTAATATGGAACAAAATAATGACTCCCGATTTTTTTATTTCTGCTCAAAGATCATTTCCTTTACGTGGGAGAGATCATTCTTCAAGAAAGTTAATCACCGAGAGCAAGAAGTTAGTAGTTACCCTGGCATAGAGGCTCTGCGGATCAGTTGCCGATCCCCTACTAGCTCGTGTCTTTCCACTTCCCTTTGAGTTTGAGCCCGAAGCCACTCCTCCATTCAACTCGTGTGAAGCTTTAGATTCGTCCTCTGAGCAGCAGCTGCTCGAGCTATGCCTGTGTAGCACGGCATTATTATTGTTATCTTCGTCATTGTCAAGGTTCGAAACCCTCTTCTTCTTCATGCTTCTCTTGATCTTTTGGACCTGCATTTTGAGAATGACGATTGAAACAACGTGGTAAATTCCTCTATATCAAATTGGCAAGCACTTAATGAATAAACGGTATGTTTAATATACAGTACTAGATATGACTGGACATTACTCTAAATAAATCTTTAACTTCCTCTTTTTTTTTTTTTAAATAATATCTAATTCACATTACAAGACATGCCAAAAGTGTAATATAAAGAAGCTAAATGGTATAAACTTACTTCTCCGGGGATCCGTTGTCTTTTCTTGGACGTCTCCAAAGAGCTATTGACTTTATCCTCCTCGGACGGTTGTGATGTTGGCATTCCATGCTCCATCCCAAGCTGCAAACTCTTCCCTTGGAAAACAGTTTCTGGCAGGTTTTCATTCGACTCTATACTGTCATTGCTCACGTCCTGATTCAGGAAGTCATCCCCATTCATTGCATCGTTCGTGAGTGGTTGAACTCGGTATCTATCATCTGTATCCTCTCTACTACAATAATCGATTGACATCAATTTATTATTAGTCGTGAAAACTTGATCAGAGTCACCGTGGTAGTAGCGTTCAGGACACGAAGAGGGAAAAAGAATGCAACTGCCTCCACTGTAAATATGGTGTTGCAAAATGGAATGCATACTAGTATTATTAGTTTCACCTGAGGAGTACATTGTGCTTTCATCAATCCCAGAAACTTTCATGGTCGATTCATGAGAAGGGCAAAAACTGGAGGAAATTGTAAAGTTAGAACCGGTAGATAACTCCTTTGGGAGTGAGTAGTTATTAAGCAATTGTGCCATGAAATCAGCCTCTTCTGAGTACATTCCGTAAAAGAAGCTCCATTCCACTTCAGAAATTGCTCCCACGGGTTCCATTCTTTTTCTGCAGCAAATTAGAAGCACAAGGAAAGAATTTTTGGGTTTTCTTGCTCTATGCTTGGAAAATGTGATGGAATGTAGAGACATATTTATACGTAGACATCCATGCCAAGAAATTTAAAACCATATTAACAATACAAATTAACACGTATAAAGTGGCCCCATCCCACATTAAATTAATATGGGACGGGATCGATACAACTCAGAGAAGATTAATTTAAGCAATTATGGACAGAATTTGCTGCCTGTCTGAACCTTATAAATACATCTTAAGATTGAACAGAAGTCATTATCAATGTCATCTCAATTTTCATCATATAAATTCCAATCATTTAAGCAAACCATAAGGGATTAACTGTCATAAGTCAGTATCTGATATTAAGAATTTAATCAGGAAACTGGTCTTGAAGTTTGAAGATAGAGAATCACACCTGGCAATCTAGACGTGGGGGTTTTTTTCAATATACTTTATTATTATGAATAAGAAGAAAGAGTTATCCCAACAAACATAATCTTTTCCAGCTTGGCTCCTGTCTCCATCTTCAAACCCAATAATATCTGAAGAGCCATTGCACTACATTAGGCGAATAACATATTCATTACGGTTAATTGTTATAAACTCATATCACACTTTTAAGGATAGGAATAATGATTTTGGCTTCTCCTGATTTTGTGTAGAGTGATTAATGATATGGATTAAGTCCTAATTCCGTGTTCAAGAGCAATAACAATAAAAACAGCAATCATAAATGAGCAAAGCACTCACGGATTTGTGCTAATCCCCCCTCAATGAGTGAATTGTCCACTCGACTGGTTCTCACTGTAATGGCCTAAAGGAGAACAAGATATGAGTTTTTCCTCATTCCTCTCTCGCACGCACAAAATGGAATATAATCTTTTATATATGTAGGAATATTACGATGGCCTGTTACATATATGCAACACTCAATCTACTCGGAACTCAAATACACCAAACACAGGTTGCCTCAAGAATATAGTTTTCAGTATAATTAGGATCTACATACTCATTATTTCATCGATGATTCACAACATCACAAAATTAAGTGATTTAGTACCTGGGAGTTTCTGGATCATTTTTCCATCATATCAAGGAGATCAAAAACTTGTAAAAGGTAAATGAGCAAAAGTTACACCCTTGAGATGGGAATTAATCAATGAACTAGAGATGCAATGCTAATTAGTGTATAATAATAGTACATTTAGTGGAGACAGATTAAGTGGCAGGTCGATTGGAAATAAGTTTAACAAATCAAATTTTAAAACAATGTTTACTTGTAAGAAAGGGACAGTGCAAATGGCATCACAGAAGATATCTATAGCTGCCAACAGCCATCAGTTGTTAAATGCTAATTTTCTTGACCAAAGTTTATAAAAATGCGCACGATCAAATTACATGCATATTATGTATGTCATTATTCACTAATGAACTGGTAAAGCATATTAAATAATGAAAAACTCTCCTTTAATCCTTAGAAAATATGGGATCATGCCCAAGACAGGATAACCTACTTGCCAATATGTGCTATTTAACCTTAAAATTAACTAAAATCTGAATAGTTCTGTACGTGTCTATATGCGATCGATGAACTTAACAAAACTTCTTCTTACCCATGAAGGGTTAAATACATTGCTGGTAACAAAATTTAATCTGTATTATATATATTTGAGGTACTCCATCCATAACCCTAAGTTTGAGTAAAGAATAAAGATGAGGTGATAGTAAGTTATTTCTTGACTAGGTTAACAATTATATTGTCGTGTCAACTTTTCTATTTCTGTCAAATTAATGTAAATGGAAATGTAATAAACTTTGCTTGCAGCAGATAAAACCAAAACGACAGCCAAATCACCTTTTCCAATTATCAAACTAAATGACACGAAATGGACAATTAATCAAAACTCTAACAAACTTTGCAACGCGTCGAACACGATACAATCCGGAAAAAAGGCACTATTCTAAGCTAGTCAAACATCTCCCAGTTATCAAGTCTCAGAATGGGATATTTACATAATGAATTATCATGGCCAAAACTTTTAGTTCTTTAATTAAAAAAATTCACCTCTCCTTTTGGATTCAAGAAAATACAGTAAGTTTATCTCTTTATCAAGACTTAAGTTTCTTGAAAACTACGGTGCATTTATCGAACACTTCAAGAATCAAGATTCCAAATATCAAGATTCGAAATCTGACTAGAAAAATGAGATACAAAGATCTGATTGCCACAAACATGACTTTAAATTACACGATGTGGGTGGAATGTGGGATAAACAACTAAACAAGATGTGAAAAACTGGAATAATATTGATACAGAACCCTTTCATGCATACGAATATGCACAGAAAAATGAATAGACAGATACTTGAACACTGTCGATACGGCCACCCCAAGATTCCGGCGATGTTTGCTCTTCAAACACGCGTCGAATCAAGACCAACCCCTCAAATTCTCCGATTTCTTATATTACTCTATAAATTCTTGATTTTTAAGCCGGCCAATGCACGATCTTCATTAGTTAACTGAACAAGGAGATATATAAAACATGCATAATTTACAAACTCGACATTTGCATTTTTTTAACAAATCATAAATTTTGGTGAAGAAAATTCCTAGAAAAAAAACCCTATGAAAATCAGATCAGATTTTTGTCTGCTGGGAGTGCAGAATATTATAGGCAGGCCTGCACGTTTGGGATGTCGGTATTCCAATCAATTAACAATTTCTTTTTTACTAGTTTCGGTTGCATTATTAGTTCTACCTACCAAAAAAAAAAAATTTGATATTTTAGTTTATAATGAAAATATTAAGGATTATTCTCTTTACAATTTTAAAGCCGTTTTCTATTTTCGATTTTTCAAAACAGTGAAAACACGTTTTCTTTCCCATTTTCGAAATCACATTTTTGAAAATGAGGTAACAATTTATAAAGAAAACCCAAAACGACCAATTTGTCGTTTCGAGTGTTTTCAGTTATAATAAGTCAAAATTTTCAAAACACGTTTTGGTGTTTTCAAAACAATTTTTCAAAATGTCAAAAAAAAAAAAAAACACATTTTCAACAATTTCAAAATAGACACACAAAACCCAAGATAAATTCAAAACTCAAATTATAAAACTCAAATATAAAGAGAACAACCCCTTAGTATTTTAGGGTACAAATGGGAACCCTTTCAAAATGATAGAGGCAAAACAGGGCAATTTTTAGAATATATTTTCTTGAACCGTATGGTTTTCTTTTTGATATACTATTTTTCAAAATTTTACAGCAATTGTTTGTTTTTCAATAGTGTGCCACTTGTTTTAGAAATCCAATTATAAAACACAGTCTACCAACTACTATTTTGCATAATATACATTTTAAAACATTTTTTTTAAAATTAATTTTCATTATTATTAATAATGATAGTGACGAAACGTGTACACGGAGTAGGGTGACAGTGATCAAATAATAATTAGTAGACTTAGCACGAGTCGCCGCATTCCTTCGATCAAAAATACAGCACGACGTAAAGGTATAAAATATTTAAGGCTAATTATAGTGATTAGATGAATTAATTAGGTCTTAATTAAACCTTCGTATGGAATGAATAGACTCAGTATTCTATTCAGGGATCTAAGTGTTCATATGGACATTCAGAGTGTGTTTGGTAGAGATTTTTGGGGGAAGAATTGATTTTTGAATAGTGATATGATGGGAAATGTGTGGTTCAAAAAGAAGAAAAAAGTATTGATGTGATGGAAAATATTATTTTATTGAAGAATGTGTGGTTGAAAATGAGAATTGATTTACTGTAGAAAATGAGAATCTGTACCAAACAGGCTCTTAATATAAGAAAAAAATAAATTGATTTTTGAATAGTGATATGATGGGAAATGTGTGGTTGAAAAAGAAGAAAAAAGTATTGATGTGATGGAAAATATTATTTTATTGAAGAATGTGTGGTTGAAAATGAGAATTGATTTACTGTAGAAAATGAAAATTTTTACCAAACATGCTCTCAAAAGGAAAAATAATAATCATGTTAATGTGTGAAAGCCTGTTCCTGTTCTGCATTTCTTAACCGATGTTAAGAGTAAATCTAACCAATTATGCTACACAAATAGGTTTAAGGAAATGTTCAAAAATAGGGGGGACGCGTATCAATACATGATTGGATAGTTTGAAAAAAATAAAAAATCTAAACACACTGTCAAGTCAGTTTGTCTGTTTTTTATCTGTCTTTGAGCATGTTCAAATGACAATATTCAAATCTAACAACGGTCTAGAATAAAGTTGACTTTTAAGATGAACATTAATATGGTATCGTAACGAGCCTTCAGATTTCAAGATCGATATGCTCAAACAAGCTACGATCTTATTTAGTCTAGAATTGGTGTGCTCTAATTACAACTCCATATGCTAATATAGAATGCAAGTCTACACAGGCTGGGAATAGATATTTGGAGACTTTTAAAGAGATTAATTTACAAAATGAAGACTCTCATGGATTAATGTACGTTGGGAAGTAAACTTGATTTTGGATAGAGATGACAATTTTCCCCACCCCGTCCCGTCGCCGTGGAGCCCTGCCCCGAATGGGGCAAAAAAACCCGTCCCGAACGGGTTGGCGGGGCGGGGTTCGCCGCCCCGAACCCGTCCCGTGAAGAATTAAAAAAAAAATTGTTTTGAACATTTTTTTTGTTTCAAATGCTTGCTTTGAATATTGATATAGTTAGTTTGAACATTATTTACTTAGCCGGCCAATGCACGATCTTCATTATTTAACTGAACAAGGAGATATATAAAACATGCATAATTTACAAACTCGACATTTGCATTTTTTTAACAAATCATAAATTTTGGTGAAGAAAATTCCGAGAAAAAAAACCCTATGAAAATCAGATCAGATTTTTGTCTGCTGGGAGTGCAGAATATTATAGGCAGGCCTGCACGTTTGGGATGTCGGTATTCCAATCGATTAACAATTTCTTTTTTACTAGTTTGGGTTGCATTATTAGTTCTACCTACCAAAAAAAAATTGATATTTTAGTTTTTAATGAAAATATTAAGGGTTATTCTCTTTACAATTTTAAAGCCGTTTTCTATTTTCGATTTTTCAAAACAGTGAAAACGCGTTCTCTTTCCCATTTTCGAAATCACATTTTTGAAAATGAGGTAACAATTTATAAAGAAAACCCAAAACGACCAATTTGTCGTTTTGAGTGTTTTCAGTTATAATAAGTCAAAATTTTCAAAACACGTTTTGATGTTTTCAAAACAATTTTTCAAAATACCAAAAAGAACACATTTTCAACAATCTCAAAATGGATATTCAAAACACAAAATCCAAAATGAATTCAAAACTCAAAATACAAAACTGAAATACAAAGAGAACCCAAAACGACCAATTTGTCGTTTTGAGTGTTTTCAGTTATAATAAGTCAAAATTTTCAAAACACGTTTTGATGTTTTCAAAACAATTTTTCAAAATGTCAAAAAAAAAAAAAAAAACATATTTTCAACAATTTCAAAATAGACACACAAAGCCCAAGATAAATTCAAAACTCAAATTATAAAACTCAAATATAAAGAGAACAACCCCTTAGTATTTTAGGGTACAAATGGGAACCCTTTCAAAATGATAGAGGCCAAACAGGGCAATTTTTAACATATATTTTCTTGAACTGTGTGGTTTTCTTTTTGATATACTATTTTTCAAAATTTTACAGCAATTGTTTGTTTTTCAATAGTGTGCCACTTGTTTTAGAAATCCAATTATAAAACACAGTCTACCAACTACTATTTTGCTTAAAATACATTTTAAAACATTTTTTTAAAAATTAATTTTCATTATTATTAATAATGATAGTGACGAAACGTGTACACGGAGTAGGGTGAGAGTGATCAAATAATAATTAGTAGACTTAGCACGAGTCGCCGCATTCCTTCAATCAAAAATACAGCACGTAAAGTATAAAATATTTAAGGCTAATTATAGTGATTAGATAAATTAATTAGGTCTTAATTAAACCTTCGTATGGAATGAATAGACTCAGTATTCTGTTCAGGGATCTAAGTGTCCATATGGACATTCAAAAGGAAAAAAAATAATCATGTTAATATGTGAAAGCCTGTTCCTGTTCTGCATTTCTTAACCGATGTTAAGAGTAAATCTAACCAATTATGCTACACAAATAGGTTTAAGGACATGTTCAAAAATAGGAGGGACGCGTGTCAATACATGATAGGATAGTTTGAAAAAAATAAAAAATCTAAACACATTGTCAAGTCAGTTTGTCTGTTTTTTATCTGTCTTTGAGCATGTTCAAGTGACAATATTCAAATCTAACAACGGTCTAGTATAAAGTTGACTTTTAAGATGAACATTAATATGGTATCGTAACGAGCTTTCAGATTTCAAGATCGATATGCTCAAACAAGCTACGATCTTATTAAGTCTAGAATTGGTGTGCTCTAATTACGACTCAAGAATTTTGTCTAGATTTTATATATTTTAAAAATTAAAATAGAATGAATCTTTACATCTAATAGAGCTTCTAAATCGAGACGAAGCCCTTCTTACTTTGCCACATCAACTTGACAGGATACTAGTCAGTTTTTTTTGTAATCGTGCATGTATTTAAATTAAACGTTACACAAATATATTAAGAAGTTATCATATTCAGTTTTAATGTACCAAAATGTAACGTGAAATATTGATCATTAGTCAATTCACTCCACAAAGCTTGATATAGAATTAATATTGGTAGCTTTTCAAGATTTAATTAAGGGGCCAAAAGCCAGGTTTTGTTTTAAAATTTTCAATGCCTCGTAGCATGAAACACGATAAGCCTTTTCAACGCACTCCATATGCTAATATAGAATGCAAGTCTACACAGGCTGGGAATAGATATTTGGAGATTTTTAAAGAGATTAATTTACAAAATGAAGACTCTCATGGATTAATGTATGTTGGGAAGTAAACTTGATTTTGGATAGAGATGACAATTTTCCCCACCCCGTCCCATCGCCGTGGGGCCATGCCCCGAATGGGGCAAAAAAACTCGCCCCAAACGGGTTGGCGGGGCGGGGTTCGTCGCCCCGAACCCGCCCCGTGAAGAATTAAAAAAAAAATTGTTTTGGACATTTTTTTTGTTTCAAATGCTTGCTTTGAATATTGATATAGTTAGTTTGAACATTATTTACTTTGGATTTTAAAATTTTGAATTTGTATTTTAAATTTAAAAAAAAAAAAACAAATGGGACAGGAAACAGGGCAAGTCCTCGCCCCGTACCCTCCCCACCAAGTCCCGAGCCCCGCCCCACCCCGTCTAAGGTGGTTTGGATCTTCATGACCACATTTTTTACTTAGATCTTTACATGGATCTTTCTAGAACATGTTTCCAGAAATGTTAGACTTTGTTAGGCTTTTTAATTGAATTGGACTTATGAGCAAAATTCTTAAATCCCTATTACTTACTTCGAAATCAAGTTTACTTCTAATATTGTGTGATCTAGAAATTCTATTTAGAATATTCTAATAAAATATTTAGTCTAGAAGTCTCATGAAAATATGAAGTCTAGAAGGCTCTAGGAAATTGTGTGATCTAGAAGTTTCATGTAAACCCTATATAAAGGGGTATAGTCCCTCAATTTTTTAAGAAGTCAAGTCAAATGTGTAAGTCTTGAAGTTAAGAAATATAAGTTACATTTTACTTACTTCTTCCTATTAATATTGTCCTTCCTATCAAGTCTTAGCCAAATCAAGTTAATAAATCTCTCTTTCCTCCAACAATGTATAGATAAACATCTATTTTCTTCCAAAATGATATTGTTTTTTGCCTCTTAATTGTACTATTTCTTGACCCCTTATTAGCGTAAAGGTTGTCTTTGATAATTAGAATTAGACTTCTTAAACAATTAAGTATAAAATAGTAGAAGATAAGCTATGTAAATAATATAAGGATGAATTAAGATGTACAATCTTTTTTTTTTTTTTTAATTTTTATTCAAAAAAATGTTATTTATACTATCTTTCTTAAGCTAATCGGCCGATGACATTATACGAAGTGAGGATGTGAGTTTATATAGCATTACTCTAAATGAAAACTTATAAATATTATTCACCTTAATTCACTCTAATAATACTTATCGAGTACTACGTTCTCTAATTTTATACATAATTTCTTATACGACCTAATCTCATGTGCCAAACTTACCCAAATAGTAAAGCATGGGAGTCTCATTGCTTGGAGATAAAGCATATTTTGCTAAGGTTATAAAGTTTACTTATAATTAGTAAATTTCAAAAAGAGTGAAAAACGTAATTTCTACTTTGCTCTAATTTTTCTTATAAACAGAAAGTCAACATTACGATATTTTATCATCAAACAAAAGAGAGAAATATTTAAGAAAATTGGGTGTGAATTTTTCTCGTGTAACCTTTTTTTATCACAGTGAAATACCGGAACAACGGATGAGAATATAGTTTCCCATTGAGTAAAACTTATATAAATCTTTCATGTTATTTCCTTACTTCGATTTTATTATTTTTGGTGGTATCGAATTGGTTTCTAATTCTTAACAAATAATGTAGCGAGAAGTGCGAACGGAAAAGAACATGATTAAAACATGTTGATTCTTTAAGAATAGTATGAATTGATTATTAATGCTTGTTGATTCAACTTAAAATCGAAAGTGTTACAATTACAATATCATTGAGTTGCAATTGAATATCAAGAGTCGATCTTCAACAACAAACTCGTTGATTCAAAATTTAATATCGAAATTGCATCCAAAAAAATATTTATAAGAGCTCTTCAAATCCGTTATTTTTTTTAATAAATTACTAAAAAAACAACAAACATAGAATAGAAGTTTAAAATACTAAAATCTAGTATAAATAACTGCCACATATACCAAGTCGTCCCCCCCCCCCCCCCCCCCCCCCCCCCCCCCCCCCCCCCCCCCCCCCCCCCCCCCCCCCCCCCCCCCCCCCCCCCCCCCCCCCCCCCCCCCCCCCCCCNGGCCAATGTCCATTCCATTATAGGCAATGGGTGCATACATCCATAGATCATCAGAGCTCAGAAGCTGCAGATGCAAAAAATGTAAAGCCAGCATTAGGATTTTAAGTCCTTTATTTTTCCAACTTTAATTGAATAAAGCGATGAACCTTGATTGTCTTAGTTAGATGAGAAAGAAAATATGTTATTAAATATGCTATGAAAGAGGATTTTTGTTACCTTGATCTGACTTTGCAAAAATTTCACATACTGGACAGCTCCTTCAAGCATTGTGCTTATGTCAACCTATTAAAATAAAGGACATTGTTGCTTTAGATATTTGAGTATATCTAGCAATACATAGAGCAATAAAACAAAACTACGATTCACCCCTAAATTTACGAGGAATCTGTTTAGTACACATTCTTTCAAAATACATTATTTCAAAGCTCATTTTCAACCACACATTTTTCATCACATCAACAACTTTTTTTTACTTTTTAACTGCATATTTCTCATCATATCAATATTTAAAATACATTCTTTCTTCAATAATATCCATAAAACACACCATTAACTGTAGACGCTTACCTTAGTTCCATTTGGGACGAGGTTCTGCAAGATTCTCAACCTCTCGTTAATTCTTTCTCTTCTTTTCTACAAGATAGGAAAAAGAAAATGATCATCGGTATCCATAAGATCATTTCCTTCAATGGGGAGAGATCCATATTCGAGAAATAGTGAATCACCAAGAGTAAGAAAGTAGTTACCCTAGTATAGAGGCTCTGAGGATCAGTTACTGATCCCCTACTGTCTCGTGTCTTCCCACTTCCCTCTGAGTTTGAGCTCGAAGCCACTTCATTCAACTCGTGTGAAGCAATAGATTCATCCTCTGAGCAGAACCTGCTCGAACTTTGCCTGTGTAGCACAACATTATTGTTAACATCATCATTGTCAAGGTTCAAAACCCTCTTCTTCTTCATGCTTCTCCTGTTCTTTTGGACCTGCATTTTAAGAACGACAGTTGAAACAAAGTGGTAAATCCTCCGTATCAAATTGCCAAGCACTTAAAGAATAAAGGATATGTTTAGCCCCTCTGGTATCGATTTTATCTTCGGATTTCATCAGATTTTGATAGAAACCATTGTACATATTAAATCTTGTATTTCATTATTTCATGTAAATTGTCCTTACTATCCTTTGAATCAGTCAAAAAAAGTGGTTGAATCAATTGTTAAAGGATAAAATAGGCATTGGGAGTAAAATTCAAAAATGTAATATAAAGAAGCTATATGGTATATACTTACTTCTCCGGGGATCCGGGGTCTTTTCTTGGACACCTCCGAAGAGTTATTGACTTTATCCTCCTCGCATGGTTGTGGCATTGGCATTCCGAGCTGCAAACTCTTCCCTTGAGAAACAGTTTCTGGCATGTTTTCACTAGACTTTGTACTGTCATTGCTCATATCCTGGTTCAGGAATTCATCCCCATTCATTGCATCGTTCGTGAGTGCTTGAACTCGGGAATGATTGTCTTTACCCTCTATCATAAAATAATCGATCGACATCAAACTACTATTTGTTGTGAAATTTTGATGCTCGTCACCTGGGTAGTAGCTTTCAGGACTCGAAGAGGGAAAAATAATGCTACTCCCCCCACTATAAATACTCTGTTGCAAAAATGAATACACACTGTTATTGGTTCCATCTGATGAGTACATTGTACTTTCATCAACACCAGAAACTTTCAAATTTGATTCACTAGGAATTGCACAGTTATTAAGCAATTGTGCCATGAAATCAGCCTCTTCTGAGTACATTCCGTAAAAGGAGCCCCATTCCCCTTCATGCATTGCTCCCACAGGTTCCATTTTTTTCTGCTTCAAATTAGAAGCACAAAGGAGAAGAGTTTTCAGGTTCTCTTGTTCGATGTGTAGAAAATGTGAAGGAATGTATAGAGACATTTATACGTAGACAACCGTGTTTAAAAAATTTTACAAGAACAATAATTATTAGCACGTATAAACTGGTCCCATCCTGTATTTAAAAATATGGAATGCGACCGGTACAACTCGGAGAATAGTAATTTATGCAAAGAAATGCAGCCTGTCGGAACCTTAAAAAAAAATCTCAAGATCGAACAGAAATCATTATCAATATCATCTGAGTTTTCATCAAATAACTTCCAATCATTTGATATAACCATAAGGATTAACTGCCATAAGTTAGTACCAGATACCGAGAATTTAATCAGGAAACTGGCTTTCAGGTATAAGATAGAGAATCACACCTGGCAATCTAGACGTGGGGGTCTTTCTCAATAATCTAAATAAATTTATTGCAAGTGTCATAATCTTGAAGAAAGATTGATCCCAACAAACATAATCTTTTCCAGCTTGGGCCCTGTCTCTATTGCTTCAAACCCTGATAATGTCTCAAAAAGCATTGCACTAGTATTTGGTGAATAACATATTCATTACAGTTTATTAGTTATTACACTTCCAAGAATTGAGAATAATGATTTTGGCTTCACCTGATCTTGTGTCGGCTAATTAATGATATGGATTAAGTCCTAATCTACATGTTCAAGAGAAAAGAACGCATAGATTAATGCTACTTCTTCCTCAATATGAGAACTGCATCCACTCGACAGGTTTTCGTTATAATGGAGAAGAATAATATAAGTTTTTCCTCACGCCCGTCTTGCACACGCAAAACGAATTCCCTAAAATCCTTCATATATGCAGGAAAATTAAGACAACCTGATACGTGTATGAAACACCCATATTCATACCATCACGAAATTAAGTGATTTAGTGCAGGAGTTTGTGGATCATAATTTCCATCAAATCAAGGAGATTAAAGACTTTTAAGAGCAAATTTGCAAAAATGCACCCTTGAGATAGAATTAGGCACTTGAGTATAGATGCTAATAGTGGAATGACAACGGATTTCATGGGGAAAGATTGAAGGTCAATTAGAAATAAGTTCAGGAAATCGAATTTTTCCAATGTTTACTTGTAAGAAAGGGACAGTGCAAATGGAACACTCTCAAGACATAAATGGTTAAATAGTTTTTTTGAACAAAGTTTATTGAACTAAGCACTAGGAGAAAATTACATGTATACAATATATGACATTATTCACAATAGGCCGTTTGACATGACTTTTACTTTCTGTAGAAGAGATTTGAAGGAAACTATTTTAGTTTTTGCTTGAAAACTAATTTTTAAAAACACTTCATATTCTGGGAGTGCTTTTTGAGAAAGTCGCATTAGACCAACTTCCTCTAAAAGCGCTTTTAACTACTCGAAACATTTTCATAAAATTAGCCAAATGGATTCAAAAACAGCTTTTAAATCTCAAAAACTCCTTTTGAGTTTTCAAAGGTTTTGTCAAACAAGCATTAAGCGGTATGGAATCATGTTCAAGAAGATGGTAAAACCTATTAGGTGACTAATCTTTGAATATTTGTGTCTATATGTGACAACGGAGCTGAACAAAGCTCCATCTTGCTCACGAAGGGGTATTGTTTTTCAGATCACAAAACTGTTGGGAAAAATCGCCTCGAACGTAGGAATTGAGATTAATGACAAACTTTGAAATATAAAAGATCACAACAATTGAAACAAGATTAAAGTAAAAGAAGAAGAGAAATTGCAGAGGAATGAAGATTTTATTCTGGACAATAATAGGAGAGAATTACATGAACTTAATTAACAATATGCTTTTTGCATAAGCTGCTGGGTTGCT